TGCGCACCTCCCTCGAGGGTCACCGAGCCAGACACATACACCAGCGCGGAATCAAAAATTTCCGTCCCGCCAACGAAGACGCAGTCCGCCACTCGCAGCAGCCCCGCAGAGCTCACAGTGGTATCCCCAAAAAGAATAACGCCATTGACCGAGCTCATCGTGTTGTTCTCTATGTCAAAGTAGCCGCCGTTCTTCACATCAACAGAAGTAACACAAACAGATGATTCCACACCGTCATCGACCTCCGTTGCCCTCAACGTATTTCCCTTCACAATAATCCCGCCACCATCAATAACAACAGCATTGATGAAATAGACTGCGTACCTACTCCCCTCGATGTAGTTGTCAAGCAGCAGCAGCGTCATATTCGCATTGAGAGTAAACCTCACAAATAAAATGGCATGGCCCGACGTCGACACAAGCTTACTGCCCACCACCAGTATCTGGGAGCTCACGCCAAAATCACCCCTGAACTCCAACGCTCCAGAATCCAGCATCGAAGAAGTCACTTCCACGTGCACGCGCGCACCACTCACCTTGATCGACAGGCCCATGAGGACGCACTGCAGCAGCGTGATGTTGAGTGTCTGCTGTGGCGCGTCAAAATACGACAGGTCCAGCACGATCGCGGCGGTGAAGGTCACGTTGACGAAGCACAGACCACGCACACCGGGATCAGGAAAGTCCAAAGAACTGATGCTGCCACCGTGAACGCAGCGGAACTCCGTGTCGGTGGCACCGGGCAGCGGAAGCGGCCCAAGACCGTCCGGAACAGCAGCTGGCAGACACGTGTCACCGTAGCCGCCAGCAGCACACACGCACTCACAGCCGCTGATGTTGCTCGTCCTCGCAGCGAAGCACACGGCGTCTATGGTGCAAACGCCACAGTCCAGTACCGTCACGGGCGTCCCAATATTGAGGTCGACTCGGTAATTCGTCACAGTTGAGCCCCTTGCCTCGTTGCACACGCCGTAGATGATCGGGCGCGTGTCGGATGGTGGTGACCAGTTGCTTGTCATACTTACAATTGTTGACGAGTACAAGCCGTACATGAAGTTGTTGTCAAGTATCGACCACACACTCTGATCGCGGAACGCCATGCCGTAGTAGGCAGCCACGTACACAACGTAGGCGGTGCGGAACTCATTGTTGAGGTGCACCAGCCAGCTGCCGCCAGTCACAGTCAGCGTGGTTGCCATGAGCATGGCGAAGCCAAGACGGAAGGTGCTGGACATAATCTGCAGCACGCTGCCGCTGTCCACAACAACATTCTTGAACACACACGCGCCTTTGCCGTATTCGGTGCTCGGCGCACTCCACGAGCCGTTCTGTATGGAGAACACAGAGCCACCGCTGACACGCAGATCCGACGCAAGAGCGTACATCACGTGCGCCTGCGACCTGACAGCGCAGTTGTCCATGTAGAAGACACTGGACAGGTTCACGTCAAGGCCGCGCTCCACAAAGATCGCAGCGCACGAGCCCCCGCCACACAACAGCGTAGACCGCGTCATGACAAACCGCGTCGACAGAAGTCGGACGCCGTCCAGGACAAGCGCGGAGCCATACCGAAATCCCGCATGGCCAGGGGTCGTCGGCACGTACTGCGACCCGCCAACCGTCGCGCGCAGCGTTGAGTTCGCCAACAGCACACTCGAGTGCAGCGGCATCGCGCCATGCAGCACGATCGTGCCCTCCACCGACGTCACATTCGTCATGTTGACGAGGGCGTGGGGCATCAGGCGCGCCGTGCTCTCGCTGAGACCGACAATCCGCAGCTGCGACCCGCCCGCAAGCACGCAGTGGCGCAGCGTCACGTTCAGCGCGTCAGCAAACGCGTCCATCAGGCGCAGATCCACCGTCACAGTGATCGGCCCGCTGAACACCACCGAGTCGAAGCACACCGTCGCACGCCCACCGCCAACCGTCACCGACTCCGTCAGCGCCACGCCACTCACGCAGCCCTCCGCGCCGCCACCACCGCCGCCGGCCCTCGCAGGCGGCACGTCAAACGGCAGGCATGCCTCGCCCACACCGCCGGCACGGCAGCTGCACACGCAGTCGGAGAACGACACCGTCAGTGCGTCAAAGCACGCCAGCGCTGCCGCACAACCGTCACACGGCACCACGCTCACGGAGGGCAGGCCGGCCAAGCGGTAGTCGCCGCTGCTCTGCAGCACCCGGCCGCCGGCACGGTTGCACTGCACCGACACGACGCCGCTCGTGATCGCCAGCCCGGAGACAAGCGTCGCGCCGGTGGCAGCGCAGCGCGCAATTGACACGGCACCGCCGCTCAGCGTCACTCCCGACAGCGACGCCACCGACGACGCCTCACCCACCGCCCACACGTCGTGCATGTCCAGCCACCCGCCGGCACCGATCGTCCCACCGTCGCAGCGCACCAGTGACGACGCAGCAGACCCCTCAACGTCCACGAAGCGCAGCACAGACTCAAACACCGCGAGGCGCTCGCCAAGCACAAAGCCACCGCCGCTGCTCACGATAGACACGTTCGTCACGGAGAACACCGAGTGGCTCCGCAGACTGAGACGCGACGAGGATGACACATGCATCGCGAACGCGGTCGGACCGCCCGACGCCTCCAGCAACACGCCGTCAAGCACCACCGCGCTCGACAGCAGGTCCACACCGCCGCCAACGTACACCGCCGACCCGCCCGCATGCGACGACCTCAGCACAGTGTTGCTCACACGCAGCTGCGTCTGCAACAGCGACGTCGCGTGCAGCACAAGCGGCGACGCCACCGTGTCCGTCAGCCCGCTCAGCTGCGAGTAGTGCATCGGTCCAGGCGTCACAATCGTCGAGTCACGGACCTTCACGTTCGTGTGTGCCGGCAGGTTGTGCACAAACACAAGCGAGCAGTAGCCGCCGGACAGCCCGCTCACGCTCACCTCCAGGCTCCGGTCACTCGCCGGCTCACCGCTGTAGCCCCGCACGTAGATCTGCGCACCGCCGTCGCACACGCAGTTCCTCAGTTCGATGCGCAGTGTGCCGGGAAGCATCGCCGGCACGTCGAACACCACAGCCACGCCGTTCGTGATGGACACGCCGTCCATCAGCAGCGTGTCCACGGCGCGACCAACCGTGATGGCTCTGTCCACCGTGCCGCCCCGCAGTCGCAACACCACCGCATGCACCGCGGGCATCCACACCGCCGCCGCCGCAAACAACACCAACACAAAGAGCAGCGCCACACGCACAGCCGCAATGGCCCTGCGCCGCACACGGTGCCGGCTGCGCGGACACGCATCCACCGCAGACCGCATCCACCGACCCAGACACGTATCAACAGGGCCGTCGTGGTGTGTCGCACCCGCCCCGTCGACCATAATTCCAGCTTTCAAAATCCCTTCTTACAGATGGCAAATCCAGTGACACGATTCCGCCAGATTGTTATCGTGCTGCTGCTAATCCTAATACTGCAATTAATCCCTAACACCCTAAAACGATAGTTGTGCTGGTCAAGCAAAAGTATCTCTAACTGTACGCTCAGAAAAGGAACAAAAGGCAGCAATAACAGTAACCAAACACAGTGGCACGCAGAGGCATCCGGTCATATACAATCCCCATCACAGTACAACCGCCGACACAAAGCAGCGCAGACGCAATCAAGTCAGTGACACCATTGCCATCCTCAACGCCCACACAACCCCACAAAGCCACCGCGCCGAGTGGCTGAATCCCGGAAAAAAGCCACATGACCACTGGCACCGCTCCTGTTACCGAATGGCTGCATCACAGGGCGGTCCCGATGCCGCGCACGACACAAAAACCGAGGCAGACCACGTGGCGGCGTTACGACCGCCAGCCATCAAGCGCGTCCGAAAGGTGCTGTTGGTGTTGGTGGTGCGTAAGTGGAGTGGAGAGCTCGCCGGTCGCCAGCAGCAAAAGCGTCGTTTCTAGTCCACGCGAGTCGGCATTGTGCAGCAATCAGCGGCACCATACACGCACGGCATACACAACAAAAATAAAAATAAAAAAGCACGGCGGCAGCACTCAAACACGGAAAAAGGGTTCCCACCGATTGCACATTCCGATTGGCTCACAGACATCCGGATGGTGGTCGCGCCGCTGCCGTGCGGTGCGTGTGGCGTGTGACTGCAGTGCACTGAGGGAATGATGAGAGGGGTGGGAGACGCAGTGCGGCCCTCATCCATCTCGGTTAACTGTGACGCCGGTGACGTCCTCCTGTCAGATCGCCTGCAGCAAAGACCGTCACCGTCAGCAGCGGTCGGTGCCTTCCCTCTCCCACTGGAACGCAACTGCACCGACGCAGTCGTTCGTCTCCTCCCCACCAACACAACGAGGGAGCAACGGCAAAAGATGAGACAAGCACGGCAGGCGCGCAGTCGCAGAATCCAACCGCTGCCGCCATGACGAAACAAGGTCGGTTGCAGGGCGCAAAAAGAAGAATAAACACCCCATCAAACGCTATGGCGCCACGTGGAAGCACCGCAACCGACACACAAGGCGAAACGCCATGAAGCAGGCACCAAAACCAAAGCTCCTCCAACAAATTCATCGTGAAGCAAAATAAAATATTATGCGAGCGCAAAAAAATTCACACAAACTGAAAAACAACAATGACGGTGCAGAGGCAATAAATGGTTGTGGTGCGCAGCAGCCGTGGCATCGCACCCTTCCCTCATCAAACAGCACCGCACCACAACGCAGCGTGACGACAACATGCAATGACGAAGACTGAGTAACACACACAAAACGGCATAAACCTTTCATCCCGCACTCGCGCAAATTTATGCTCTCAGTATGTAATGCCAACAGCATAGAGAAGGACACGGAAGGGGACTGTCCTGTCCATCCACCTTCTGCCCACAACAGATTCTCCCCATCCTCCTCCTCGCTGCGCCTGGGTGCCGCAAAACGCCGTCAAGCAAAGCCACGTGCATGGAATTCCCCAATGCGCAGGGCGAGGCTGGCAGCCACCTACGCTCACTCCCCCACACATATCCTCTCCCACAACTTTCCCACACACAAAAGGGCAAAGACACGGAGAAGAGAAGCCCGCCGCACAACGCACGCAGAAGCAACGCCATACACGCCGCACCGCAAGATAGGGCCATGCGCACCACACACACGGCAGCAACGAGAGGGACAGGGTGCATACAAGTCCATGGCGCTGTCCTTTACTTCTCACTTCCCCGACAAATTAGAATTGCGTCCCACAGCAGGTCGTGGCGAGTGGCGTCCCACTCAAAATTGAGGCACGGTGCACACACCATCCGCTCCCCCCGAGTGCACTCAGCAGGCCGGCGCCCAGTCACCCTCGTGCCATCGCAATGGGGACCAAAAATAATCGTCGTCGTGGACCATCGGTGCCTCTAGCAGAAAAAAAAAAAAAAGAAATGAGGGCATTTCAACAGCACAGCTACCAGAGAGACACTCAACGGGACACGTAAGCGCTCAGCGCCAGTGAATACCGCAAAGAAAAAAAAAAGAACTGCAGCGATTTACCAAAAAAAAAAGGCCAGAGTCCAGAAGAGCTCCCAAAATATATAAAAAAAAGAAAGAAAAAATTGATTCGGAAAGACTTTTATTTCATGCGCCAAGGAGTACCATACAGTCATGTGTTTGTGTATGCGTATTGCCTGCAACAAGAAAAAGAGGTCAAAGAAAAGACTTTACTGTTTCACTAGCCCACACAACATCCTTCACATTTCGTGCGGCATCCGGCCTGTTGTTCCAATCATCGTTTCGTGCAGTCCATGGGACGCACAGCAATGAGACCGGCACCGCGTGTGGGCGAAAACAAAAGCAAACAAGAGCGGGAAACACTTCGCTCATTACAGTGTGCAGCAGACACCCATTAAGTAAGGAAGAAAGTGAGAATGCACAGCTGGACGTAGTCTCGTCCAGCACAGCTCCCCACCCTCCATCACCGCACGGTGGTAGCTGCACACACCATCCACAAAGAAAAGAAAGCAAAAGAAAAAGAAAACACGGCGGCAGGGTGTGTTTGTGTGTGGCGCTGCGGGTGTCTGCCCGCCCTGGCCGCAAAAAAGAAAACAAAACAAGAGGGAAAGAAATGTGTGCTCCGCCCCACAGGCCCTCGTCGCACGCCCACACGTCACGGCTCCCTCAGCGCGCCGTTCGTCGCGGCCCCTCCTGATGCGTGCAGCAGGCGAGGCGCACAGGGCCGTCGTCATGAGCGTGTCGGTGGGTGTGCGAGTGGAGCAGTTGGGCGGGAAACACACGGCACCCCTCACAGGAAGAGTGCAGAAAAAACAATTAAAAAGAGGGAAGAATAAAAAAAAAGAAAAAACGTCCATAGTGATTGCCCCCAAAAGCAAAAAAAGAGAAAAGGGATGGGGGAGTGAGAGATAAAAACAAAATAAAAAAACAAAACAAAGAAAAGCTACGGTGCTCCGCCCATGCAGCCAGGCAGGACGGCAGCGGTGCGTGTCGTGCAAAAGAGAGCACCAACGGGCCTGCATGGGTGTACATGCAATATATACAATGGGCACATTATGTGTGTGCTTCGTGGGGTGAGGTGAGGGCGAGAGTCCATGCAAGGGGACACACACAGAGAGTGAGAGAAGGACGAGTGTGTGTGCGGGCGGTGCACGGCTCTCTCTCCCTCACTCTCACGCGGCCACCACCGCAGCAGCAGCCGCACACGCAGCAATAAAAAGAAGCAAAAGAGGGGAGGTGGTCTGGGAGACCGCGGTGCTGCTGTCGCTGTCGTCTTTATTTGTAGTTTGATTTGTACCAACGGCTGTTTTACCCTTCGCGGATTCTCTGTCTTTTTTTCCAATTCGCTCCTGTTGGTCGTCCGTTTCATTTGCCGTTGTTTCGTTGGATTCAGCAATGGCGCTAACCTTTACTTCTCTCTTGTCGGATTCAGAAGTGGCAGCAACACCAGCACCTGTAGAAACGGATGGCAATGATGGGTCGGTAGTTCCATCTGATGTACTTTCTGTGCCAATTAAAGGAGCTTCTCCTTCTGGCTGTTTTGTTGAACCGTCGCTGATCTGCTTCTGTTGCAATCCTTCTGGCGGTACAGGTGCCAGTGAGCCTTGTGTTGCCGCTGGCCCTCTGGGTGAGCCATGCAGCGTCACTTGTTTTCCGTCTTGTTGTTTTAATTGAAGTTCTTGTTGTTCACTTTTCTTTTCCTTTTCTTCTTTTTTAACATTATTTTCCTTGGCAATGTCTTTGTTTTCAACCAAGGTTTTTTCTGCAAGGTTGCGTGATGCTTCCTGGTGATCCTCAATTGAAATCGCTTCCGGAGTACCTGCGCCAGGTGCAACAACTTCTTCTTTAATTTGAGAAATCGTTTCCTTTCCTTTTTGTTTTTCTTTTTCGTTAGAAACATCACCTTCTCCATTGCCTCCTTGGGGTTTATCTCCAGGTATGGTTGGGGTTTTATTTTCAACTTTTGGACTTCGTTGTGTCCCCCGTAGTAATTGTTCTTGTTCAATTTGATTGCCCGTTTCTTCGACTCGAGGCCCTTCAGATTGCGGTTTTGCTCGCACAGATCGTTCAACTGGTTGAAGTGGATCTTCTGCTTGGTGGCCTCCTCCTTCTTTTTGTGGTTTTTGAAGTTGTGTTTCATCGACTTGTTCGTCATTTGCTGAATGTCCCTTGCTCCGCAATTCTTCTTGTAATTCTTGTGTTTCATCAGTCCGGGACGGCGGAACAAAGTCCTCCAAAACCTCTTCCGTATCACCGTCCGCAACTACACCTATAGTGCACCACAGCACGCAGAGGGCACACAACAGCAGCACACGGCCAGTCATCATCATCGCCATCACTCCTGTCACTTGCGTGCAGCCTTCAGCACAAACTAACTCCCCGTCAACGCAGAGCAAAAGCAAAAAGGGGAAAGACACGGCACAGTAAAAAACACCGCCGGCAGCACGCGTTTCATGAGAAATATTGAACCAATGAAAGTGCGAAAAACGCACAACACCCTGTCAAAATTTAACGACAAGAAAAACACACAAAAAAAGGGGAAACAAAAAATGCAAACACGCAGCAATAAAGTAAAATAGTAAACAAAAAAACAAGAAACAAAAACCTGCACACAAATGTCTCCAGTGCGCATGCAACTACCCTCAACATGCGTCCACACAAACAGTTGTGTGCGTGCCATGCGTATGAGTGTGTTCGCGGTGCGTTCAACGTGACGGATGTGGGGAGCAACGCGGAGCACACAGCAGGGCAGCGGAAGCAAATGAAGCAAAACGCAATCATCATAATTACTCTTAGTTTATACATCGGACCACAGTAGACGTACACATGTCCCCGTGGCTGAGAGCTGGCACGCACAGCCCACGCTCCCTTTAGCCCACAGCGGTGCACACCAGCGCGGATACGGCGAGCAGCAATGGGGCACACACCCACGCAGAGCTGCTGAGGCTGCCGTCCATTTCGCGGAGACGTGACGGTGCGCGGGTGGTCGTCGTAGTGGTTGTAGTTGTCGTGCTCGTAGTTGTATTGGGTGCTTTTGTGGTCGTTGTCGTAGTTGTAGTTGGTGCATTTGTCGTGGTTGTGGTTTTCGTAGTACTTGGTTTTATTGCCGTATCTGCTTTGTTTCCATCACCTCCAGCATTGGGTGTATCTGGTCCATTTAACGGACCGGTGTTTTCTTTTTGACCCGGTCCCGTACCGGACGCCTCATTTCTTGACGGTAACGTAACAGCATCCTTATTTCGATTCTTTCCCTCATCGGGGTTATCTTGTACTTTTGGCTGAGGGGGCGACAAGCCCGAGCCGGCGGAAATGTCTCCACCAGTTGCTGTCACGCAAACGGAGGGGCAGCAGCACAGGGCAAGCACCAACAGGGCGCACAGCAGACGGCACGTCATCATCATCGTGAGTGTGGTCGTTCAGTGGTGTGGAGCTGATCTGCACAGTGAGGGACATGGAGAGCAACAGGGGAGACGAGAGGTGCGACAGACACACACACAGAGGGCACACCACATGAGGAGAGGGCAGCAGCCAGGCATGCACCGTGCACCGCACACCACGCACGACACACACTCCAATCCACGGCAACAGACACACACACACACACACACACAGCCCTGCCGCAACACCAACACACAGATGGAAGAGGGAGAAGCAAACAGGAGCGGCACGCAAGGCTCCACCGCATGTACATACGGCGAGAGCGGTCCGTCGTGTCAGCACCCCTCACGGAGGGCACGCACACACACACGAGGAGGTGCAGCGCACACAGCAACACAAAAGCAAAATAACAGTAAAAAAGGAGATCCCCGCACACCACGTGAATTGTTGTTCCACGGGAAACGCAGATAATATTTAGCACAAAACAATATATTCTGTTTTCCCTCTTCTTTGTTCGCTGTGAAAGCACTGAGTTTGTAGCGCAAGGTCCGTCCGTAGCAACGAGGCAAGTATCCAGTCTCATACGGGCCGTCGTGCATGCTGGGCATTCACAAACAGTCGCAGTCCTTACTCTCAACGACGAGGGCATTCCCACAGTGGATGAAGCGAAGTATCCCGTGGTCCGTCGGGAATCAGCAGCCCGTGTCGTCCGTGATGAGGCGGTGGCGGAAAAGCCTGGTCCATATCGGGTTCCTGCGTTTGTGCTTCCTGCGTGTCTTGCCTGCTGGCATGCTTGGCAACTTCGGTGGCGACCTGGGCGCGAGGCACCTGTTAAGAAGACGGTGGCGCCATTGTGGCATCCGCATGGGAGGCCCTCGCAAACTATCGGAACTCCAGGCTGAGCACGTCGGGCATGTGCCGTCATACTGTGGACGGAGAAGTGCACTCTGCCGCAGGTTGGGCAGGAGGACGTCAATCCGCCGCTCGCTGGTCGACAAGGAGTTGCGGTGCTCACGTCTGGAAGAGGTTCCGGCGGAGGCAGTGGCGGGCCGGTCACCGCAGTCAGGGAGGGATGGCACCACCGACACAGAGGGTTCCTTGTGATCCGCAGGGCGCGTGCAGGCCTGTCGAGGAGTGGGCAGGAGTCGCATCGCGCCTGTGCGCCGTGCCGCCACTCGGGGTGCGATTTCCGGGTCAACACCAGAAACAGAGTCCTCGCCACACCGAAGAGCGCCTGTCATGCGGTGTGCGCGCCTTCCTTTTCCTCCTGAACATCCTTCCAGTATAAACTCATGACTGCAGTGAGAGAGTCCACGTGCTAGGCATTGACGCAGTCCTGCGAGAGGGATCGTGCAATCGTGACTTCGTCCTCAGCGGCCTCATTCAGTGGGATACCGCAGTGTGATGGTAAAAACATAAAGTCTACAAAGTTACCTCGCTTTATCAAGAAAAGCAGGTTAATCTAAATCTCTTCATTAATGCGGCTTCGCACGGCCAGTGGGGCAACGCGGAGTGCCTCAATTGCCGACAGGGAGTCCGTTTCCTCCAGCATTCGTGTGGGCGATTGGGATGTTTCCGGACGAGGAAGTATGAGATTTCCAAAGCCATTTCCAATGGCAAAGCACTCTGCTCTCTATGAGCATGCGAGTCTGCCAGCTGCTGCACGATGTACCTCCACAGGGAGATCATTTGTCGTGGTGGAGTAATATAATAGTGCGGCGTGTCCAGATGCGAGTTCAGCGAGGGATGAAGAACCGTCCGTCCACAATTCAAAATCGTGATCCCATAGAAGGGAGTAAAGTGAACCAAAAGCCGTGCGCTTGACATCGTCAGAGACGCCTTGAGCAAAAAGTGCCTGATAAAATTTCACTTTGTTGCAGATCACAGTGTCCCAGGGAATAATTCGATGTTGAATAGGAGGAGCACGAAGGTGGTTGTGGGGTATCCCAATAATGTTACAGACGCGTGGCAATCCATTAATAACAGCATCTTTCGGAAGTGGGATTGATGTCGCCGCTGTCCCATGCATGGATGGCGAAATAGGTTCCGAGTAGATAAGGGAACGCAAATCCTCATAATCATGGAGGCGTATGCAGAGTTAGTATTGTGTGAGTGCACGAAGCCAGAGTGTATTCCGGAGCGGGAGGAGATTGACTTCCAAGCAGACAGATGTATCTTCCGTTGGTGCGCTCAGGCCAAGGGATGTTTTGCTACCGTCGCGGTACAGTACTTACATATTATGGAGGTAGGTGGGGACAAGGCATGAAACAATTGCCTCACCACAATACAGTGACACACCATGGACGTATTCAATCGAAAAGGATTGCATGGTGTGATGGGACGCACCAGCCCGTGCGACCAGTCGTAATTGGTAACGACGTAGCATGGTCTGCTTTGAAGCGGTGGAAGCATGCGTAACCAAAATTAGGAAGTCGGACAATCGTGGTGCCCAGCAAGCGCACTGGGCGTGACTGAATACGTAGGTTCCCATTGCCAAGATGGAGATCGACCATGTCCTCGTCAGACCGTGTGTGTGAAGAGATGTAGAATAGAGCAGCTTCGCTCTTAGCGACGTTGATTTTTAGGCTATGCTCGACAGCCCATGTGGCCACAAGAGACAAGAGCGGTCGCATTGCCGCAGCACAGGCATGGATGTCCGCATCTGAGGCAACAAGTGTGAGGTCGTCCGCGTACATGAGTGCGGCGGCAGAATAGATGTTGCCCATGCGGCGCAGCACATCATCCACACTGTAGAGGAAGAGTTGGGGTCGCAGGACGCTGCCTTGCGGTACTCCGGCTGGGGTGAGATGTTTCCGGGAGTGCTGTTCGCGAGTGCATACCCTAACATAGCGGCCCCGCAGGTTGTTATGCAACCAGCGGTTGGTTTGTGGGCTAAGGCGCGGAAGTCCGTGCAGCATTCCGAATAACTTCCCATGGTCAACGGTGTCGAACACAGTCAAAAAATTAATCAAAACTACGAGCGATGGCGACGAGGGTGTCGTGTGGGAGCGCCGCCTCCAGGGCGCTCATACTCCACAATGCCAAACTCATTCAATCCACGAGTAATTTATCGATAACAAGTGTCACCACGTCCGACGTAGAACGCGAAGGTGCAAATCCGAAATTGACGTGGGTGGTGCGGCAATAACGCTGACAGAAGGCGTTGGATCATTCCTTCGGTTAATTTAGTAAAACAAAGAGTAGCGTGGTGGGTCTGTAACTCTCTGGGCGGCATGGATCCTTCCCAGGGTTGGAAATGCGAATATTGTCCTCAATTTTCCAGGAGCCAGGCAGGCTGCCATTTGCGAAGGAGTTGTGGATCATCGTTCTAAGAGTGCTGCGCGCAACGGGCCCGGGATGGTGCAGGAATTCATTCAACATGTTGTCGTGGCCAGGGGCTGAGCCGAGCGAAAAGTCACGGATGGCCACGCCAAGTTCACACGGCGTGAAAGGCCAATCCATTTCCCAGTCACCAGGGAGCAATGGAGTGCGGTAGCAGCAGCAGCAGCAGCATAAGGCGGTACGGCACGTGAAACCGCACAAAATGACGGACAAGCGGGTATCCCTGTAGCCGAGGCAGAGCGCAAACGCAGCCAAGATAAGTTCGGAGCACAACCGATTTCAGAGAATGAGGGTGCGGCGCCGCCATGGCGCGAAGATATCGCCAGCTTGGGCTGTATGAAGCCCCAATTTTTCCACACGGGCTTTTAGCAGCATGGAGAAGGCACGGCGTAAGAATTGATTTCGTTTCCCCCTTTTTTCGGCTGAATTCGGTTCGAAGTAGGCTGTCTCCGGGTGAGGCAATGTGTCTACTTTGTGTGCTGCTCCTGCGGCGGACTCGGCTTGTTACATTTCGTGAGTCCATATTATTTTGGGGCTGTCACGGCTGCCGCGCGGGATATGGCGCTCAGCTGCTCGCAAGATACCTCTGCGGATGTCCAGCCATGTGGGTGCGATGGCAAGGAATGTTTCACACAACGAGGTGAAAGCAGGCCAATCCGCCTTACACAGGGCAAAGGTGGCTTTTTCCCGCCGAGTCAGCGTGTTGGCTAGTCTTGGAATGCCATCTTCCATCCCCGCCAAGTAAGGTATCAAGCAGTGGTCAGAATCGATGTAGGGAGTGGATTGCCAGTGGGTGACACGTAGCACGCGATACGCAGTCACCTCAGGGGACGAGAAATTACGATGTGTGATCCGTGCTGCCTGCGTCGGGTCATTTGCTGGCTGAAAATTCATATCAAGCAAAATAGCAACGAATTCCCCTCCTCCAGCCGTTGGTGGTATATGACTGTCCCAGAGTCCATGATGTAAATTCAGTTTACCCGCGATAATCGCTGCGGGGCCTGAGCGACGAATGATACTAATAAACGAAGAGCTCTTAAAGGTTGCTGTGGGAGGGCTGTAGAGGTTCACCACGCAGATGCTGGAACAGCCATGCGGAAATACACGGGCAGCAATGGTCTCCAGGAGGTCAGTGCCAGAGAGCGACAGGCATTCGCACGGTAGAGAGTGGCGCGCCAGAATGGCAACGCCACCACTGCACCCAGTGCGGGCCTGAAGAAAGTCATTACAGCCAGAAACGTCTGTCGCTACGTCGCTACGGTCATTTATTACCTGAAAAAGAAAGATGTCAGTTTGATTCCGCTCCAATCGCGCAGCAAATGCATTTTTTTTAAGGACGAGAGGCCTGCAATGTTAAGCCGCCAAATAGTGATTTAGCCATCCTCCTCGGTGCCAGGGTTCTTGTGGACGTCACCGCAAAGGGGAATATCAACGGAGCGACCGCAGCGAAACGGTCGTGCAGTTTTGTCCGACAGTCTGCAGGCAGACCGCTTCACCTCCCCACACCGGGCATGGCGTGGAACCTTCTCGAGGGGTGGAGTCGTCTTCGTCTCCGTCGTGCTCGCAGCAACGCACCGCAGCGGAGTTCCTACATGCAACCAGAGCCCCGGCACCGCGACAAGGTGCGGACCCCATCGCCGGGGCCAGGAGAAGCCGCAGTGCCTCCTGCTTTCACACGGGTCCTTGTTGACGTCTTGATGCGGACAAGCGCCCATCGGTTCTTACAAACGACGCCGTACACCTGCGACACATCCTGCGCTGTGAGAGGCACGACCCTCACCAAAACCGGAGTCGCCCACGCGCCGTCGGTACGCACCAAATCGGAAGGAAAAAAGCAGGGATGCGTCAGTGTGACAGCAAAGCATCCGCTAGCAATCACTTCGCACGCATCACCACAAGCAGCACCAGCAGCGCTGCAAGCCACGGGTTAACGTGGACCAACTGACGCATAGCGTATGTCGAAGGAAAAACTTAGTGGCCTCACAAGGACAAAAGAGGCTGACACTTCAAAACAAAAAAAAACGATATGAGAATATCAAAAGAAGATTAAATCGTCCACAGTCAAAGCATGCCGCCAATCAAAGAAGAGTGGAATGGGTGCACTCAACCACAATAAGACAAAACAATAAAAGAAAAAAACAAAAAGCCGAAGCGTGGGACGACCAGCGCACACACTCTCATTGCTCCCGTAAAGCAAAACACACACACAGGGAGAGAGAGAGAGAGAGGTCGCCCACTCAATGCAATAAAAACAAAACAGAAACAGTTACGGTGCTCCGCCCATGCAGCCAGGCAGGACGGCAGCGGTGCGTGTCGTGCAAAAGAGAGCACCAACGGGCCTGCATGGGTGTGCATGCATATATACAATGGGCACATTATGTGTGTGCCTCGTGGGATGAGGTGAGGGCGAGAGTCCATGCAAGGGGACACACACAGAGAGTGAGTGAAAGACGAGTGTGTGTGCGGGCGGTGCATGGCTCTCTCTCCCTCACTCTCACGCGGTCACCACCGCAGCAGCAGCCGCACACGCAACAAGAAGAAGCAAAAGAGGGGAGGTGGTGTGCGAGACCGCGGTGCTGCTGTCGCTGTCGCCAGGCGTCCCCGTATCATTTTTGTGGGCGGTGGTAGCTGTTTCTGCTGTTTGAGGTGCTGCCTCACTGGCTGTGGGAGCTGCTTGGGTATCACTGCCTTCAAGATCGTTCTGTGATTCACTGGGGTTGGGCCGTTGAGCATCATTCTCATCCGCCGTACTCTGGGCTTCGCCAGTGCCACTTGTATATATGGATGATGTTGTTGTTTCCGCTTGACTGCCGCGAGATGAAGTTTCCATCAATTCCTCTGTGGTTGTGTTTTGACCTTGTTGCTGTACCACATTATCCTCTGAAGGAATTTCCGGTGCCTTGGAGTCCATTTTAGTTGTTAACACTGACGTTTTTTGTTCTTGATCTTTTGTATTCTGTGGGACATTTGGTGCTGGTATGCTTCCATCGCTTGGTGATGGTTCTGTTGCTGGAAGTGCCGGTTCTTTTGATGGACCTGCTGTTGTCACCGCCGATGGCGGTACTGGCGGTGGTGTTTGGTTGCTGGAATGGTCCACCTTCCCCACATCATTGTGCTGATTCTGTTCTCCAGTTGAAGCCTTACCATTAACTGAAATTTGTGCTGCTGCTTGTGTGATGGAGAGCTCTTTCTCTTGTTCTTTGGGTTTCGATTTATCCGCTGTCTCCAATTTGGGTGGTGTATTCCCTGGAGACGCTGTTGGTCCCGACTCCGCAGCTGCTTAAGAAGATATCGTCTCCTCAGTGGATAAAGAAGCTTCTGTGTTCTGTGACTCACCAACCTCATTGGGAACGCTAGGTGAATTAGAGTCAACTGAAGGAGGAGACTGCAAAGAACCACCACCACCACCTTTAGGATCTTCAGTTGTGTCCCTGTTACCGTCACTTCCGCCAGCAGAATTGCCACTGCCACCAGAAGTTCCACCGCCTCCTCCACCACCTCCAGCTCCACCTGCACCACCAGAAACAGAACCGGCAGCAGCAGCACCTGAAGGTGAGTCTGGATTACCTCCAATAATATCAGAAGCATCATCGTTAGTCGAGGCTTCAGCGGCGGTGATGAACGACACCATACGCGAGGGCAGCGTGATCGCAACCTTATCACATACGCTTGGCACACGCAACCGATTCACACCCAAAACTCCCGACGCCATGCAATCACCAACTGCGTTCTCTTCGACGTCTCCCGCATAAGCCCAGCCGGCACCGCACCACAGCACGCAGAGGGCACACATCAGCAGCACACGGCCAGTCATCATCATCACTCCTGTCACTTGCGTGCAGCCTTCAGCACAAACTAACTCCCCGTCAACGCAGAGCAAAAAGCAAAAAGAGGAGAGACAAGTCACACAGGCACGTACAGTAACAAATGGCGGCCCACCAGCAGCAACAAACACACCATGAGACAGTTGGAATCAGTGAGAAGACAAAAAAGGCAAATGCACAGTGCTGCAGTAATTAATCAGCAAGAAAAGAAAAAAAAAAAACAATTAAAAACACAAGTAAAAAAGCAACAAAAAACTTTAATAAAAGTAGCTGCACAGTATGGCACCATTGTGCATGCATTCACATGCAAACATGCGTCCACATAAAAATTTGTATGCGTGTCGTGCATATAAGTGTGTCTGGGATGCGTTCAACGTGACGGATACAGGGAGCAGCAAAATGGAGCACACAGCAGAATAGCGGAAGCAAATAAAGCAAAACACAATCATTATTTTCTCTTATTTATTTACATCGGACCACAGTGGACGCACACAAATCCACAGGGTTGAGTGCTGGCACGCACAGCCCACGCTCCCTTTCAGCCCACAGTGGTGTACGCCAGCGCGGATGCGGCGAGCAACAGGGGGGCACACACCCACGCAGTGCTGCTGAGGCTGCCGTCGCTTTCGCGAAGACGTGACGGTGCGCGGGTGGTCGTCGTGGTTGGCGCCTCTGTGGTCGTAGTACTTGGTGCCTCTGGCGCCTTGGTGGTGGTCGTGGTTGGTGCCTTTGTTGTCGTCGTCGTCGTGGTGGTCCTCTTGGCAGAAGCTTCAGCTTCCTGATCTGTTTGGTCCGTGGATATATCCATGTGAATTTGTGTCCCTGTATCGACTTTCTTATCGTCTTTCGGTAAAGTGTTGCCCGCATCATTTGATTGCGGACGCGGAACGGTCGAACTCTGTCCCTTTCCGGCATCTGTTCTCTGTTCTGAAACGGGACCGGGACCTGGCGGACCTGACGGAGCGGACGGCTGTATTCCTAACTCTGAAGAAGTGGATGAATGACTGGTGACAAGTACATCATTTTCAATCGTATTCTTGTTATTATCCCGCGGTGATTCTGTTGTGGTCGTCGTGGTGTTTTGGGAAGGAGCTTGAACTTTCGGAGAATCTGAAGCGCACACGGACGGGCAGCAGCACAGGGCGAGCACCAACAGGGCGCACAGCAAACGGCACGTCATCATCATCGTGAGTGTGGTCGTTCAGTGGTGTGGAGCTGATCTGCACAGTGAGGGACATGGAGAGCAACAGGGGAGACGAGAGGTGCGACAGACACACACACAGAGGGCACACCACATGAGGAGAGGGCAGCAGCCAGGCATGCACCGTACGCCGCACACCACGCACGACACACACTCCAATCCACGGCAACAGACACACACACACACACACACACAGCCCTGCCGCAACACCAACACACAGATGGGAGAGAGAGAGAGATGGAAGAGGCAGAGGCACACAAGGCTCCACCGCATCCACATACGGCGAGAGCGGTCCGTCGTGTCGGCACCCCTCACGGAGGGTACGCACACACACAAGGAGGTGCAGCGCACACAGCAACACAAAAGCAAAATAACAGTAAAAAAGGACATCCCCGCACACCACGTGGATCGTTGATCCACGGGAAGCGCAGCCAAGATCATCGCAAAAACAATTCGGTTGCCTTTGGCCCTCGTTCATATTCAGCGCACACCACTTCATGCAGGTCTGGGAACCACAGCAGCAGCAGCCGCACATGAAAATATAAGCGCAAGGAATGGCATAATGCAGGCAACCATTTATTTGTGTTTCTTTTTGGAGGGTGGCATATGTCTGCATGCGTTTTTGTTGTTTCGTTTTTTCGGAGGGCAAATCTTCATGCCTGGGTCGTGTGTTGAGGATTTCTGCAGGGTGCACAATTATGTTTTTTCCCTCTTGTGAATGTTTCTTGTGTTGGTGCGGCCAAGAATTCGGTTTGTGTTGTTCCTGCTTCTCAATGGAAAAGGTGTTGCAATAGATGTTTCCTTCTTTTCGTTGCTGTGGCACCTGATTCCTCACACTTTGTTGCGGTGGAAATGAAAATATGTGAGTGGACTCCCACACACCAGAACGCACCTTCGCTCCTATTTATTGGTGCATGGAAGGGCATGTGTGTTTGGTGGTGTCTCGTCCATATATTTTGCGGGTGTACATTCCCCTGCAGGCTGAGGGCGGGACGACGCTCCGTCGCGGTGCACTTCCCTCGCATGCCGCCCACTGTGATCCATCATGCATCACCCCCTCACATATTCCGTGGTGCCACACCGCTGATATTATTGCAGCCGCTGTGATTCCGCGTACTTCACGCATTTCATTGTGCCACAATACATCCGCTCGTGTGACCGCCGCATCCAAACAGCGGTGCCCAACACCGTGAGCGGCAGTCCACATCCTTGCATGCCCCAACGCAGTGGTGTTTGACTGTCAGCCAGGCGTCAGACAACAGGAGAGTCTTGTGCTGGCAGTACAACACACGGAGCTGCAGTGAATGACTCGGGCGGGGACGCATCTATTTGTCGCAAAGCAGTGAAAGGGAGTCGGGCAAAATAATGCCGGCTGCATTCACGACACCACATCCACAGCCAAAGCATGCGACGTGATGTGTGTTTCACCGGTGCTGTGAAATGCCTGCAGACGAAGTCAGTAGTGGAGGCATGCCACCCATGATCAGCGGACAGACAATAATCGGCATGGCAGGCCACAAGAGGCAGCAACGACACCAGCAGCTCTCTCTCTCTCTCTCTGTTGCCTCCGAGAAGTAAATAGTCCACCAGCCACAGCCGACTGTGCCATCGTGACACTCCATGCACGTCGTGCAGCGCCAACACATCCTGCTCCCTGCAGCGCCTCGAAAGATGCCTCACTCCGTCCACTAAGTGCATCGATGTGGGCCGTGCCTCGGCTTTTCGTGAAGACCACAACGATGTGAGGGTCACCGAGTCGCAGCATGTTTGTTGTGACGTTGTTGCATGGCACCTGCACACACACACGCAGCGCCTGCATCCCTCCTTTTGTGTTCGCCCTCTGCCGGAGTCGTCACACACACGAGCAGCAGCAGCAGCAGCAAGAGCGCAAGGACCAACACGGCGCGCACCACACGGAGCCGCACCGTCACCATCGTCATCATCGCAGTCATCATCACCCGTAGTGGAGTCGCTGGAGTCAGTCAGCTGATCCGTGAGCCAAAAGGAAAAGGAATGGAACAAGAGGGAGAGGAACGGAGTGCAGCGGATGCAGCGAGAGAGAGCAGACAACATGAGGAGAGGGCAGCAGGCCCAGCCGCACACTTCACACACCACGAGACGGCATCCACGCAAGGAAGGCACACAACGCCAGCAGCCACCCACCATGCAGGAGGACAACACATCCACCACCATCTCCCCCCAGCTCATCTCTACAGCCCCAGGGAAATGGCAAAACCCCGCGGCCACCACACAACGCACACGGAGCAGGCAATCACCACAACAGCCATCCCGCTCTCAGTGGGACACGGAGCCCAACTCAACGCAGTCACACGCGGTGCACCACACCCGCAGGAAAGGATACTCGGGCTGCGCGCTCCCTCCCTCCTCACTTCTCCTCATGGCCACGGAAGAAGACAACAGCCGCCACACGCAACTGCCAGCATGCACTGCAAAAGGAGCATTCAAATCCACTGCAATGTGCATCTTGTGTGTGTGTGGTTGTGTGTGCCTGCAGAAACACAAAGCGAAGAAGTAAAAAAAAGAAAGCAGAGTGTGTGGAGAGACGCACAAAAATGTACAGCAGAGACGCATGGCGGAAACAACAAGAAGACCGCTCAAACCCATGACTGCACTGCATTCCAAGCAGTGGCAATCCACACAAGATTTATCCAAAACAAAAAAAAAAACGTTCCCCTTCGTCTTATATAAACCCCATCACACAAAATAATTATAAATAAAAAAGAAATCGTCCATTACTGTTCCACACAAATTTAAAAATAAGTAAAAGAAGTCGCCTGGCTGCCGTGTGGCCACACCAAACTGTCTGTATATATTTTGCGGGCAAAAGAAAATTTTAAAAGATATTTAAATGTCTTTCAACCGTCTGACCCTCCATGTGTCCGCACATCGTTTATATTTCATGGGGTCATCTGCGTGTTGCTGCTCCCCTCAGCCCTCTCATCGGCGCGTGAGTGCGGCCCGCAGAGCACAGTCACTCGTGTGTGTGGGGGGACTGAGAGAAGCACGCAGAAATGACGGGAGTCGCGTCTCTCCATCGGGAGAGTGAGCGCAGCAAAAGAAAAAAATCATCAGGAGGGAGAGAAATGCTGACGGGACTGCCAGCGCGTGAAATGAACACAAAAACAAAAAAGAAAAGAAAAACACGGCGGCAGGGTGTGGCTGTGTGTGTGGCGCTGCGGGTGTCTGCCCGCCCTGGCCGCAAAAAAAGAGAAAAAAAAGAGGGAAAGAAATTTGTGCTCCGCCCCACAGGCCCTCGTCGCACGCCCACACGTCACGGCTCCCTCAGCGCGCCGTTCGTCGCGGCCCCTCCTCATGCGTGCAGCAGGCGAGGCTCACAGGGCCGTCGTCATGAGCGTGTCGGTGGGTGTGCGAGTGGAGCAGTTGGGCGGGAAACACACGGCACCCCTCACAGGAAGAGTGCAGCAGGAAACAATCAAAAAGAGGGAAGAGTAGAAAAGAAAAAACGTCCATGGTGATTGCCCCCAAAAGCAAAAAAGAAGGGATGAGAGATTAGAAAAAAAAAAGAACAGAAAAAAAAGAATTTTAAAACAAGAAAAGAAGCAAACAGGAAAATAAATTTAAAATACGCAAAAAAAAAAAGTAGAAGTATTAGAGATATTTGTTATCGGGGAAGTAATTCCGTGGTGGGGAGGGCGCAAGTGTCCCACGCGGCAGCCAGTCACGCCTCACAGAGTCGCAAATCCCCACAGTCCCAGCAGAAGGAGCAGCGGCAGCAGCCCGCTTCTGTAAACATTGCCAGCATCACCCGTTGCTCCTCCAACGGCATGGGAACTCGAAGCTGTCGGCACTTGCTGTGTGGTGACAGGCTTCCCCTCCGTTGTTATTTGCTGTGCTTCACCTTCTTTTCGAGGCCGTCGCAAGGCCGCTTGTTCTTCTGGAGCTTCAGAAGGTTTCGTCGCAGGGAGGGCCACAATTTGTTCCCCTTCCACAGATGGAGAATTGGCTTCCACTGATTCCGGATCTTCCGATGGCGAATCGGCATCTTCTTCCACATCGGCATTCTCACCTGAAAATGAAAACGGGAGGTTGTACAGCAGGACGTTCCTCACAGTCACAGACACGCCTTCTTCGCTCCCTGCGCTGCCTCCATCCCCTCCAATGTAGAAGTGTGAGATCTCTTTCAAATCCGTAGTTTCCAATTCACATTGCACATCTCCCACACACACGCTGACCATCGACGTACGCAGAGCCCTGGTTACCGTTCTGCAGCACAATGGCCAATTGGTATTGTTTCTGTGGATCCCAAGTGCTTTTAAGCTTCTTGGTCTTTCCGTCACCGCACAGCACCCGCCACTTCTTTTCGCTGTCGTACGACAACTCCATAAGCCTTTTTTCACCACCATCAAGACGCACACCCATCAAAGGAATGGAGTTACCTTCCTCCGGCACCTCGTGAATGGACACCGTGGCCACAAGAGTGAAGTTGTAGTTCGCAAAGTGGTACAGCTGATTCTGCCCCTGGCTGCCAACAGGCCACTCCGCCCACGATCCCTGGAAAGTCACACCATCGGAATTCTCAGTTACCTCTGTTGCCGCCCCAACAGCGCTCCTTACTGTGGCGTTCACCCCGAGGTACTCGTCCCTCCATGTGCCATCAGAGAAGTTGCCGGACAAAAAGCCAACCAGCCCATCCGTGATCTTAACAGCGCCGCAGGCAGTGCCAGATGAGGTGTTCTCTGTAGCACTTGAAGTGGGGCAAAGCTTGGAGACACGTTTGTCCACTTCATTCCATGTAGTCAGCACCTCCTTCACCCGCTGCAGCTGCGCAGTCAGAAGCACAGAGACCATACCGAATGATGTTTCTTTCTCATCGCCCTTCTTCTTCTCGTACAGTGCAATCAACTCCTCCTTCTTATTATCACCATCTTTACCACTTTTGTACAACAGGGAGCTGGCGGCAGCGTCCTCATCATCCTCGGATACCGGCCCAATATCAACAATGTGCGCATTGTCCGTAACCCAAAGATGGAGTACACTCTTTCCATTGTTGTTTCCATTTTTCTTTTTTTTGGAGTAGACCGGCAGAGTGACGAGCATCACATCCCTGTTATTATCGACACCGTCAATCGTCTCTGTGATGAACCCGCTTGTAACGCCCTTCGCAGTTCCCCTGTGTTTGTTGCCCCACACGCGCGAGAGGGTCCCGAGTGTCTCCGTCCACGAATCCCCCTTGTCAGCGGACTCGTACACCCTGCGGCGGCCACCATCACACGCAGTCATCATCATGAGTTTGTCCTTCCACTCCACGACGGAGGGATCACTGCAGCCATCGGCAGACATCCCCTTCTACAGCACCCAACTCTTAGTAGCCGCCGAGTTGTGTATAATCAGCAAAGCGGTTTTCACACCTTTCTCCTCCTTCTTCTCTTTCTTTTTCGTGGCTTCCACGGGAAAAAAAACGTTCCGTCCCCCAACCTGGCACCCGATCCACCGCCAAGAATCAGCTGTGAGAGGGATTTGTGTTCCTCGCCTATAGTGCACGGGAGACCGTCAGTATCGTTCCAACGAATTCTTTTCTAGGCTTCATCACCACCGACGTTTCCTTTTACAAGCAATATCCCTGGTTTGATCTTCTCTGTCTCAGCCTTACATTCAGCGACATCTCCATGGCTGTGTTTCCCAACAAGCATGTAAATATTACTTCCCTCCACAACTGCTGTTGGTCGGCTCACATCTACTCTCCTTTCCTCCTCTGGGGAGGTACCTTCCTCCAGAACATGTGTATCCTTTTTGGCATCCTTCAGCACTTCCTTCGGTTCGTTACCCTTTTCCCATCGTGAGTAGTTGGGATGCAATCCCAGAAAAGCCGCTGTTTCCATCCTTCTTGCACTGCGCCTCGGCAACGGCAAATACGTCATTCCCCACTTTTAGAAGGCCGGGAACACCCAGTGATTCCACAACTTCCTTATCATTCGTGATGCCCGTCCATTCAAAAGTTGGAATAGTTAAATGCTCCTCGTCGGAGGTCACAGCTCCAGTGCCACAGCACATCATCATAACGACAAGGAGAAGCAGCACCGCGGAAGTAAACACATGCCGGGACATGTTGGGCCTCGGCGGCTCACTCTCTCTTCCTTCCCTCCTCCTCCCGCTGGATCCGGTCACGCGGCGACGGTTGTGTGTGCGGGGTGCCTTCACTGCAGCAACACGTGAGTGCATATAAATATGTGTGTGTGTGGGCGGTGTGTGTGCTGTTGTTGTTGGTCCTTTCAGAGCCTTCGAATTTCACAGTGGTGATTAGCGCTTGGTCGTAGCTTCCTTCCTAGCCTGAGTGTGTTTGTGTGTAAGAAATCAAATTAATATTTAAAAAGCATCAAAAATTAACGTGGCAGAGAAGTGGGTGGCGCCACCATCCACAGTGTAACACATCAGCGTCGTCGTAACCGCCACAGTAATTACTCTCCCCGTCCACAACGGCTCAAGCACTGTGAGGCCGCACACAGAAGCATAGACACTAACGTTTGCGCACGGGCCAAGATTCCCTCCGGCAAACAGCACCAACCAACAGACAGCCAGCAGAAATTAGGTGCGAGCAGAATCCCAAGTGCCGCGGGATCCTTGCAAGCAGCGCTACCTGATTGCAGGGCCTTGAGGCGCAGCAGGCGGGTGAGCGCGGCCCATCCACGTCCTCCCCCTCAACCGACCCACCACACAGTCCATTCACATCCCCTGAAAGGAGCCGTGGTGCATAACAAAATAGCACGGCCAATAGCACCTCGTGCTCTCAATGTAGTGTCACGGCACACACGAGGCACCACAAGAAAAACCAAATAATTGCATCCCATCGGCATAAACACGGAAATAAGGCGCGCATTCTGCCCCTGTGAACTTCCATCCAAATCGTCTCAGCCACAGAGTTTCTGTCGCCAACCCTCAGAAAGGGCTGATGCATCAACTGCCGTTGACCGATCCCTCAGCGATGCAACAAAAAGAACCACCGTCTCTCGAGGTCCGTCATCACCCTTTCCTCCCATTGAGGGACGAGAACGCAAAGTGACGGTGTGGGCGTGTCTAGCTGACAGAAATGAAAG